AAATAATAATCATTAGAAATGGTTAGTCTGGGGGCAGCTAGGTGGTGCAGCGGATACAGCACTGGCCCTGAAGTCAGGAGGACCTGAGTTCAAATCTGGCCTCAGACCAAACACTTGACACTTACTAGCTGTGTGACCCTGGGCAAGTCACTTAACCCCAATTGCCAAAGAAGAAAAAAAAAAAGAAAGAAATGGTTAGTCTGTGTAAGACACTGTATTGGAGACTGGGGATATATAGGAACAAACCAGGGCCTGCCCTCCAGGAGTTTATATTCAACGGAGGATACACCATGTATATACATAAGTAAAATACCAAGTAATATTAGGAGGGAAGGATAGAGTTCTGACAAGTGGGAAGCAGAATCAGGAAAGGCCTTGTGTGGGAGGCAGAGGAGGAAGAAAGCCCCTAGGGAACAGAAAGCATGTCAAAGACACAGGAGAGGTAGAGTGTTGTGTGTGTTGGGAAGAGATAGGGGCTAGGTTGGCTGCAAGAGAATGTGTGAAGGGGAGGAATGTCAGAGCTCACAGGGACTTGAAAGTGTAGGACGGCAGTTCTAAGAGGCTCCTTGGAGCAGAGAATGGCAGAGCTGGGAGGGTCCTAGAACCGAGGATGTCAGAGCTGGGAGGGCCCTTAGAACACAATGTCAGAGCTGGGAGGGCCCTTAGCACCCAGAATGTCAGAGTTAGGAGATCCCTTAGAGATTGTCTAGTTCAACTCTCTCACTTTACAGGTAGGTAAACTGAGGCCCAGACAGGAGATGTAACTTGCCCATTCTCAAACTAGAGCATGGGTCTCTCGACTCCTTTGAGGCTTCGTGGCACAGTGAGCTGAGCATTGCCTTACTCTCTGCATGCTCTTGGACAAGTCACTAAATTTCTCAGATTCTCCATTTCCCAATCTATAAAATAAGAATAAAAATACTTGCCACAAGGAGGCAAGAAAGTAATGGAAAGTTCACCAAGTGCGGAGTGCTGGGTTCGAATTCTGTTTCCCCAGGATCCCCATTGGTAAGAGAAGGTCAAACTAAATTACCACTAAGGTGTCTGTCAGCTCTGAGTGCCAAGGCTTTCTCCACTACACCGAATTGCCTTGGTTCTTTCATCTATCTTCTCTCCAGAGCCTGGAACAGGCCGAGAACATTTGGGAGGTCGTCAGGAAACGCTCAGCAGGCAGACTGCCAAGAGAGCTAAGGTGTACCAGAGCTGGGGAGGGCTGATTTGCCCAAAGCCACCAGTACCTTCTGGGAGGAAGCTCTGGGGCCTCAGCCTGGCTATTTCCAGGGGTTTCTCCAGGCCTAGTTTACCCTCCAGTCCCAGGCTGGGGCAGCTCCCCACCCCCCAACCCCCACCTGTCTCCTCGATTGACAAGGGAGCACAAGTGGGAGGCCCTAGGTCCCGAGGGCTCCTTTTACACAGAAGCTATTCTGGGGAAGGGAGCGGGGCTGGGACTGCAGACAGATCCCACTTTCCTTTACTTGGAAGGAATTGGCCCAGGGGCAAGGAGGAGGGGAAAGGGTAGTTTGCTGTTTCTAAAGGACAGAAGGAATTCATTCCTGCCTCTGCATTGTCCATTGTACAAATCCGCACCCCCCCCCCATGCCCTCCCCTATCTATGCAAATCCCTATCTGCCAGCTCTCATCTGGCCTCAGAGAATCTCAGAATGTCAGGGCTGGGAGGGCCCTTAGAACCCAGGATGTCAGAGCTGGGGGGCCCTTGGAACCCAGGATGTCAGAACAGGGAGAGCCCTTAGAACCCAGAATGTCAGAGCTGGGGGGCCCTCAGGTTGAGGGGCTATGTCCTTCTCTTAGCACCTGACACAGGGACAACCAGCCAGCCCATGCTCCTCACCCCTCAAAGATTCTTAGTCTAAGTGGGAAAGGGATTGGATTCTGGAGAGAAAAGAATAGGGACTTTGGACATATCCCCTAAATCTCCCTTTGGAAGCTAGCTGAAAAGGGGAAATTTTTCAATGGGGATAATAATAGCTAGCATTCATATAGCACTTTGGGTTTGCAAAACACCTTACAAATATTGTCTCCTTTGATCCTCACAACAACCCTAGGAAGAAGGTGCTGTTAGTATTATCCCCATTTTATAGATGAGGAAGCAGGGGCCTGGAAAGGTTAAGTGACTTGCCCCAGGTCACACAGCTAGCGTCTGAGACTGAACTTGAACTCAGATCTTCCTGACCCCAGTTCAAGCGCTCTATGCACTAGCTTCCAACAAACACACACCCTTCCTAGTATCTCTGTAGCCTCATAAGATTAAAAATTCAGAGCTGGAAGGGACCTTAAAGGGCATCTAATCCAACCCAATTACTTTTCAGTGAAATGGCCAGTCACTCAGTGGTGTAGTTCGGATTCAAACCTAAATAATCAGACTCAAAACCAGCATTGTTTCCACTGACCTCCGCTGCCTCATTGACAGGCATGTGCTCCCACACCCAGGAAGGCAGGACAGTGGAGCCCTGGGGCAGCAAGCCAGCAACCTCAGTCACATGCCAGAAGAAAAATGCCTGCGGCTTTCTCAGATTTAGATGCTTCTCTTGGTCTCTGCCGTTGCTTTGCTTTAAAGGATCCTTTATTAACTGGGGAGGTATTGAAGTTCAGTGAAAGGCATGCTGGATTTGCAATCAGAAGACCTGAGTTCAAATTCTGGCTCATCACTATCTTCGTGACCTTTAGCAAGACATTTAACATCTCTGGGCCTCAGTTTCCTCAATTGTAAAATGAGAGACATGGACTAGATGACTTGAAAGGTACCTTCCACTTCTGAAATCTATGCCCTTAGGACAGAGATACCACTGCATGTGTATTACATACAAATATATGTGTCTATTTGTGTGTAACGTGTTATATTCATAAATCTATATATATACATACACAAACACATGATGATGCTGGCAAGGCAGGCAGGCCTCCCTTCATCTACCAGCACAGATGTTGACGGTCTCTCCTTAATTCATTCAGTAATAATAGTTCACATTTATATGGTACTTTAAATTTTGCAAAGTTCTTTATATTAACTTGAGGTTCACAGCAATGCTGAGAAGTACTATTATCATCCTCATTTTATAGATGAGGAAACCGAGGCTAAGAGCAGTGAAATGACCTGCCTGGGGTCACAAATATAGCAAATAAGAGAGGCAGGATTTGAACTCAGATTGTCCAGAGTCTGCATCCTGTATAACCTCTCTACAAGAGGAACCACCCAGCCCCACCTGTGCTGATCCCTTCCCCAGTGAGGGCCACTCTTGTAACGATGTGAGTCTGAGTATCCCAGGGGTTGGATCTCAGCAACTGGGGGTCTCTCTCCCCCTTAGGGACCACATCCCTGGGACTATTCTGAGATCCAGGTTCTCACTTTGATTTCTCTTCCCAGGGTTTCCTCCCAGTTGATCTGCTATTTCCAGTTCTGCTCACTTATTCACCAATAAGAGTTCTGAACTAAATGGGCTGAGGGAATCAGGGAAGACCTTCGGGAGGAGGTGGGGCTATGAGTTTAATCTTAAAGGTATTGGGCTGTGGAGAGAGAGAGAGGAAAAAAATAAGGCAAAGAGAAAGGAGAGATGAAGTTTAGGGGCATGGTCCGAGCAAAGAATGATTTGTTAGAAACTGAGAGTAAAGGAGCAGTTAGTATAGAAGGTAAACTGAGGCCAAATCATGAAGGCTGTGCTTTCATGTGTGACCCTGATTGGTCCTCCCAACTGTTCTCCACCTCTTTCTCTAAGCCAAGCACAGATCTGACCACTTCACTTCCCTGCATGAAAGCCTCCAGTGGTTCCCTAATGATTAGGACCAAAAGCAGACTTTTCTGTGTGACATTCCAAGCCCAGCACACTTTTTCAGGCTTCTCGCCCATTCATGCACCCTTCGGTCTAGCTCAGGGATGGGGAACCTTCAGCCTTAAGTTCTTAGGTCCTTAAGTGCAGT